TCATGTCATGACTTGGCAAGTTTACACACACACACACACACACACACACACACACATAATGAATCCCATTGTCTTTCTCTCATATTGTTCTTGACTCTATCCATGTTTTCTATTGTCCCAGTTTTAGGGATACCTGTAAAAAATGAGTAAGAAAGAGAAATTCAACAAGTGATCATTCCCAGAGTGCAGCCATACAAAATTGCTTATCAGAAAGTTGTTCTCTGTCAGGGGCCTGGAAGAAAGCTCGCGATTAGCTCACAGGTTACCACTGTATCCAGATGACTGTGCATTCTCTAGTCACACACTTAGGTAATCTGAAGGATAATGGTGGGATTGAAGACTAAATCTAGTAGTAATAAAACACTATTAGAAAATCTTTGTTACAATCTCAGAGTGTCTTGAGGGTTCCAGAAAAAGTGCCTGGTCTTGTATTTTATGCTTTAAAACTAGGGCTGTGCAGGGACAATTCCAATTAAGCAATCCTCCTGGCTTCTTTCCCTGGAAGCCTATTTCTTTCTTCCCATCTGTGATCTTTGTTCTTCTCTTTTCTGGTAAAACTGTTTTAGCCAGGTCAGCCAAGCTAAATGTCCCTGATTTACCAGCAGAGCCCTGGCTCTCACTATGGGGTCAAAGGGCAGGGTACAGAATTGCAAAACAGTGATCCTGAGCCCTTTAAAGCAGTTCTAGTCCCTGAAGCACTCTATCCTAAAGTAAACATGAGTTGAGAAATGATTAAATGTACAAATAATAGTAAGGCAAGCAACAGGAGGAGGAATCTGTTGATTTCTTCAATAGTACTTGAATATGCTTTTCCTCTGTAACTCTATTTCCCTGAGACCTCTCCACAAGTATTTCTCCCTTGGGTGATATGCCTGCGTTTGAACCATAAAGGTGAACCACAGAGGGCCATTGGAGGACTGACTGTCAAGAGAGGCCTCCAGGGGGGGCTGGTGGCAATTCTGAGAGGGAAGAGTAGTCGTTGGGAGGGCTTAATAGAAATAATTGGGGAGAACAAAGAGATCTACGTTTCTCCTGCCACACAACCCGACTGTGGCTCAACTGCAGGGACTGTGAGGCAGGCACAGCAGGAGCGCCAGCTGCTGAGCTGGGATCTTCTGAATGGAGAGGTCGCCTCTTTTTCAGCCCCCCAAGGAGGGCAGCAGCATTCACAGGATCAGGAACACAGCCCCATGGAGGTGGTATAATCAGTTAGTTGTATATGACAGTTGCTGAGTTTACATTAACATTTGTGATTCTAATGATAAATTTATTCATATTGTTAATACTTATACTGTATAGGGCACCTGGGTGGCTCAGTCGTTAAGCATCTGACTTCACTTCAAGTCATGACCTCATGCTGAATTTGAGTCCCACTTTGGGTGAGCTTGAGCCCCACCTCCGGTAAGCCCTGCTTCTCTCTCTCTCTCTGTCTCTCTCTCTCTCTCTCTCCACCCCTCATTCACTTGTGCCCTCTCTCTCTCTCTCTCCAAAAAATAAAAATAAAAATAAAAAACATTTATATTGTATAGGTAACATTTACTTAACAATGATTCTATTCTAGGTTTCTAAATGCTTTACATATACATTAATACACTTCATCCCCACAATAGCACCTTGAAGTAGATATCATTACCCTGATTTTACAGATGTGGAAATTGAAGTACAGAGAGGTTAGATGTTTTCCCCCAAGTTACACAACTTGTAAGGAGAGTTGCTGGGATGTGAGGAAAAAATGTGTTGGGAATTCTTGTCAAGAGAGAATCCTAAGATTAGGGTTTAGAGAGATAAAGTTTCAGTGGCAACGTGTGTTTCATGTGCCCGTTCTACCTAGTTTCTTTTCTTTTTAGATTGAAGTACAGTTGACACACAATGTTCTATTAGTTTCAGGTGTACAGCATAGTGATTCAATCGGTCTGTATGTTATGCTTTGCTCACCGTAAGCATAGCTACCATTTGTCATCATGCAACACTATTACAGTACCATGTTCTACCTAATTTCTATCGATCAGTGATGAGGAAGGCTCTTTGTTGGATGCTAGGTGGGATGGAGAATAGTGGTGGAGATATATAAATTAGTATCAGACAAAGTCCTGTGTCAGTGAGTTTATACTCATGTTGAGAATATCCTACAATTCCGAGGTGGCCCTGCTCAAATTCTGACTCTTTGCCCCACGTTTCAAAACTGTCTTGTACAATACTGTGGCTACTAGCTACACATGGCTACTTAAGCTTAACATTAAAAATTTAATTCCTCAGATAGACTAGCTGCATTTCAAGAGCTCAGTTGACACATGTGGCTAGTGGCTACCATATTAGTGTGGATATAGAACGTTTCCATCGCTGCAGAAAGTTCTAGTGGACGGTGCTCTTTTGAAAAGTCTTTTGACTTGAAATAACCTGCCAAAAGACGTCGACTAAACCCATACCTCTTATTTTCTTTTTCTTGTTCTGTTTCATATATGTTATGCTTGGGAACAGCTTCTGACTTCATTAAGAATTTAATGAAAGCCATTACCCTGAAAATGCACCTACACAATTATACACAGAAATTTGCATACAACATCGGTGGTATCATGGACTCTTTGTGTAATGTTTACCCCCTGGAGCTTAGTCAATGACCCCAAAACTTAGTGGCTTAAAACAACAAAGATATACTATATGGTTTTGTGGTTCAGGAATTCAGGAGGAGTTCAGCTTAGTGATTCTGGCTCAGGACTCTTATGAGATTGTAGTAGGGTTGCCAGATTTAGTAAATAAAAATACAAGATGCTCAGTTAAATTTTAATTTTAAATAAACAATAAATATTTTTTTTCAGTATAAGTATGTCTCATGTAGTAATCAGGGCATACTTTACTAAAAAATACTCATAGTTCACCTGAAATTCAAATTTAATTGGGCATTCTGTATCTTATCTCATAATCCAGTCAATGTGTCAGCTCAGGTTTTAATCGTCTGAAGACCTTCAGACCTGGGGAGGGCTCATGGATCTATTTCCAAGATTGCACATTAACATAGCTAGCAAGTTAGCTCTGGTTGTTTGCAGCAGATATCAGTTCTTTGCCACATGGAACTCTTTTGGGGCTGTTTGAGTATCCCCCTCACTTGGTAGCTGGATTCCCCCAGAGTAAGTGACTCAAGAGAGTTCAATACCATGTGTGATCTCACCTGGGAAATCACACTTTGTAATTTCTGAAATATTGTATTGATTGCACAGGTCATCTTTATTCATTGTGAGAGGGGACAAGATGAATATCAGAGACAAGAATCGCTGGAGGCCATCTTGGAGGCTGGCTCCATCTTCTAGAATTTAGACACAGAGTTCATAGCATATAAGTTCCAAGAGGGTAGAAATTTTCTATTTTTTTGGTTCATAGTCGTAGCCCTAGTAGCTATAACAATGCCTTGTAAATTTTAGGCACTCAATAAATATTTGTTAAATGAATGAATAAGTGGACTCTGGCCTAAAATATCTGACCTAAAAAATTCCTAGGGTCCCTAGGAGATCGGTAGGAACAAAAGATGCTTCCCCAAAGAGGTTGAGGAGGAAGAGATTAGAATATAGGTAACAGGAATTTGGAAAGGGATGCATCAATTTAATAATGTTGCTAATGAATGATCGTGATGGTTTGGTCGTGTCCAATGAGTACCAGCCTCTGTGTTAGAAACTTCTTGTTGTGTACATGATTTCATGTATGTAACCTTTCATGTAGGCATTGTGAAAAAGGGTCAGGAGTTATGATTCAGATGCTGTGAAGAAGATTAACACATGCATGCACACACACACGTACATGCACACACATACACACACACACACGCTATTCAAAGGAAGGAGTGCTCTGGGATGACAGAAAGAAAACCATGAGATTTAATACAATGCCAGAATGGGTCTTTTGTAGAAAAGTATCGGGCATAGCCTCGACACAAAAATTACAACCTGAGAAAGAACACACAGGTTCAAGTTTATTGTAAGACTGCTTTTTAGAAAGTAAAGCGTGTGGGTAGTAATTCAAGGCTGGCAGAGATAATACAGAACAGGGCTATGTGTGGCAATAACAGTAGTCCTTTTCTTAATGGCAGCAGAATTGTTTCCAGTTCTGTCATTTTTTGATATCTGCTGGGACATAATATTCCAGCTATGTGGCTGTCACTACTGAAATCACAGGTTATCCCTCAAGTGAATTTGTGGGGTTTACTTTTTACTAATGGAAGGTGGCAGGGAGACCATGGAGGGTAAGGAATATATCACTACTCCAAGATCCCTATGCTAGGCGCCATCTCTATCCTCAAAATGCTGCAAGTCTGTAGGTTGTGAGGATGAAGACAGGAGTCAGTTGTAGAAAAAGCCTAGCAGTTTATTTCCTGGTGGTTTACAGAAGGATGCTTATCTCTCTACACCTCCTCAGGAGCGTCTGCAAGGCAGCTTCGGCTGCTCTCTGGACACTGATACAGGGGTCTTGCCGAAGTGCTTGGAGCCCTGAAACAAAGAATAGCGAAGTTCAGTGAATGAGGAAAGCCAAGGCTCAAGCTCTGCCTCCCTGTGAGGCTCCATTGTTCAGGGTTAGCTCTATGCAGAGCCCTGGGTCCATGCTTACATTCCATGCCAACAGGTAGGATTTGGATTTGCAAGGTGAGGATCTATTTTAACACTGACATAGGGGAAGAGGAGATCCTGACCTTGTGATCAGTAGGTTTATAGACAATCAGAAAATAATGGTCTGTTGGGAATGATGCCTGCAAAGAGCTGGAGCTGGGGGTTGCTTTATACTCTGGAGAAATCCCAGGATCTAGGGAGCATTAGAGACAATAATGAGGTACTATGATTTTCAGTTTCTGGGCTCACATGGAACTTGGTGCATAATTAACTTCTCCTTCTCACAGATATTTCTCTGACAACAGGCTGCGCAGAAACTAGGGTTGGTACTCACGTGTGGTCAGTTGCTCTTTGTCTAATAACTGCACATATTGGTTGGTCAGATTGAGAACAATGGCATCTAAAATCAACAGGAGAAACAGGTGCTAATTTCGTTATAGAGGAAGAGGCCATGAAAAACTGGTCAGGTTAGGCTCTGCTCCTGGTCAGAAGTTAAATGGTCTGGCTAGTGAATGAGCAAACTCTATGACTCCCTTTGTGCCCCCAGAATGATGCTGGGCTAATGTCTATTGGGTGTTAAGTGTCATGTGTGGAAGTGGTCCCTCGGCCAATGTGCATTTGGGAAAGTTCACCCGGTGTCCTCGCAGGGCATGCCGGTTGTTGTCAGGGTTTCTAACGTGTGTAAGATATGATCCCTGTCTTCAAAAAGTTTACAGTGTAGCTGGGGGGATCATATACATGATCCAATAAGGAATCCTTATGTTTTAACTAAGTCTTACAGGTGGCCCATTCACAGTGGGCTGGATTAGTTGGAACTGGCTTCAGGATAAATTTTAGAATTTCATGATAGAAGATCCTGAGGGATTCACTTACTTTCCTCTTTTATTTTATAGATCAGACAAAAAGGCAACACAGAGAATTTAAGTGAATTGTCCAGCATCACAGAGCAGAGCCAAGGTCTGCTGGCCTCTTGACCCACACACTTTCCACTTTTATCATGTTGCTGCTAAAACTCTCAGCTTCGGGGCGCCTGGGTGGCGCAGTCGGTTAAGCGTCCGACTTCAGTCAGGTCACGATCTCGCGGTCTGGGAGTTTGAGCCCCGCGTCAGGCTCTGGGCTGATGGCTCAGAGCCTGGAGCCTGTTTCCGATTCTGTGTCTCCCTCTCTCTCTGCCCCTCCCCCGTTCATGCTCTGTCTCTCTCTGTCCCCAAAATAAATAAACGTTGAAAAAAAAAATTTAAAACTCTCAGCTTCAACTGAGCTTAAAAGGTTTACCATGGCTTATGTTAAGGGACAATGCAAAAGAAACCATTTAGGCAGTGGCAGCCGGCTGGGAGCAAAAACTCAGGCAAAAGAAAGAGTGATGACTTGGAACCAGAGAAGCATGAGGGCCCAGTAGGGAGGAGGGTCTAGTAGGAGGAGAGGAGGTGTTGGGAAGTCAGAAGATGTTTGCAAAAGAGAACAAGTTGGTTCCTTTGAGGGAAGATGTTCCAAGAGGTAAAATGAATTCCTTTCTGGCATTTCTTTTTTGGTCACACCAGTCATACTTGTGTTCATGCTAGAGTAGCTTCCAGTCAAAGCAAAAGTGGATGGGAAGGAGCAACATAACTGAGTAGGGAGTGCAGATGTGCCCTCACCTGTGAGTTTGACAGCAGCACTCCGGATCATCTCCCAGTTGCTGCTGAAGAAGGTGAAAGAGTGTGTGTGGAGGATCCACAGGATTTCCTGGTTTCTCTTTGCCTAAAAGAGATGTATTTTACAAAGAGGACAAAGAGGGAAAGTGACTCTGTGTGAAATTTGGCACCCTCTAGGTCCTGCAAAAGGAAATCTAAAGACCAGTGAACACTCACAGAGCCATTATTTTACTGGGATATGTCTTCTGGCCATTTCAAACCTGAATTTAATCAGAAAAGTACTGGGGGAGGGGGGGGTGGGCGGGTAGGAGCACCTGGGTGGCTCAGTCAGTTAAGCATCCAACTCTTGATTTCTGCTCAGGTCGTGATCTCATGGTTCATAAGTTCGAGCCCTGCATCAGGCTCCATGCTGCCCATACAGAGTCTACTTGGGATTCTCTCTCTCCTTCTCTCTCTGCTCCTCCCACAGGCATGCTCTCTCTCTCTCTCTCTCTCTCTCTCTCTCAAAATAAATAAATAAATAAACTTATAAAAAAGAAAAGTCCTGGGGCTTTTGGGACTAATCAACAGATGGGTTTCAGGAATCTTGAAGAACAGATCCCAGTCAGGACTTGGAAAAGAGCAGAGAGTAATGTGGCAGGACACCAAGAATCATTGCTGTCCCTCCAAGACAGTTCTGACTCTGGCCAGAGATCCTTGCTGTGTTGTTTGCTTGTCTGGGATTTGCCTGGACTCTTGGCTATGGCTTTGCAGGCAGCATTTACTGCATGCTCACCAGTTTCACACAGAGTTGCCGGTAGAAATCTCTGGCCCTTGGTAGATCCTGACCATCGAGGAGATGATCTAACACCCCATAGAGTTCCTGAAGGCCCAGAAAAGGGATGCAGATGATCAGGACATCACGGCAAGCCTAAGAAACAGAGTTCTTTGAGTCACAGTCCAGAATACTGGATTGTCTTCTGGAAGAGTGGGGTGCTGCCTAGGGCTGGGAGAGTGGTAGTGGATGCCTGCAATGTGAGGGGCTTACGATCTATGCTGGCACCTTCCCAGATTCAAGGATGGAAGAACAATCTGAGAGAGAGGGCAAGAAAGAACCTAGGGCTGGAGAAGCAGTTTTCAGGTCTAGTTGGGAGTGGTGGCCTCAGATCTGGCTTCTGGTCCAGCTCGACCAGCTCTCCTGGCACTTCTGGCCAAGGGGTGGGGGGTCAAAGGGGTGGGGTGGAGGTGCGGGTGTCTGTGCAAGCACCACTTACAGTTCCAATCTTGGGATTGGGATCCCAGAGGTGGAGAAGGAATGAAATCATGCTCTTTTTTATTTCTTCCGCAAAAAAAATCTTCCACCTTCTTCCTGTTAGGGATGCCAGATTCTCAAATAAGAAGATGGCAGTCAGTCTCACATCATCCTGCTCCTGTGACGACAGATGCATGTCATGGGTGAGTCCCCATCACAGGCTATTCCCAGCCGTTGTCCACCCCCCACCCTGCCCTGTCCCACTTCAGCAGAGGGAGGCTGTGCCCCGGGCACTGGTGCGCTCCAGTCACTGCCCTCATGTGTGCCAAGAACACTCTTTCTTTTCCAGAAGCTCTGCACTCACACTCCACGAGTTTAAATGACCATGGGTCTGGGACTTGGTTTCTGTCAGTTGAGTAGCTACTGGGGAAACATGACCACAGGGATGGTAAACAGGCCAGGAAGGGTTCCTGCTTATGTATTTTATACAAATTAGCCCGACTGCACCACTAGCCTAGACTTATGGGGCTTCAAATCTAAATTGCCCAAGGCCTAAGGGTCTTCTCCAAGGTCCCAAATACTTTCCAATATGATGAAAGGCAACTCGGAAGATCCTTGGTCTCAGAGACAGAGAATAAACAAATAGTGCTTAGCCCTACCCTTGCATATAAGAAGTTCTGGAACATCCTTGCTTGTTGTCCAGGATGGTTAGACAATGATTTTAAGAACCAAAGGGTGAGGTGGTGGAGAAAGATGGTCTTCTATCATCCCCCAAACCTTGCTGATATTGTTCATAGCTCTAACAAACACTGATGGATTTTCTGGAGGTTCTTCTTTTTTTCCTCCCAGGTCCAGAAAAGTAGTTTAAGATACCCATATAAAGGCAGAGTGATGAAGGGAAAAGTTGTTCTGAGTAGCAGAATATTATATTTTGGATTAGCGATAAACAAGGGCCAACTTTTGAAAAGCATCCCCACGAATATGAGGGGGAGAAGATAGAGAAGTATTAATTTTGGTGGCAAGATGGAATGTATCAGAAGTGGGCACAGAAGCAAAAATGACAGAAAAAAGGAAGTTAATAAAGATCTTCCAGAAAAAAGAAAGACGGCTGGTTGGGACAAGGCCAGAAAAGTTAAATGAATACATGAGACGTGACCTTGTATAATGGAAAAAGAAGTAGAAATTTCGATGTACTAGAAAAAAAAATTTTTTTTTAAGTTTATTTATTCTGAGAGAGAGAGGGAGAGAGAGGGTTGGGGAGGGGCAGAGAATCCCAAGCAGGCTCTGCAATGACAGCTCGATGTGGGGCTCAAACTCACAAACTGTGAGATCATGACCTAATCAAGAGTTGGACGCTTTACTGACTGAGCCACCCAGGTGCCCCTAAAGGTTTTCTTTTCAAGTAATCTCCACACTTAACATGGGCTTGAACTTATATCCCTGAGATCAAGAGTTGCATGCTCTTCTGACTGAACCAGCTATGCTCCCTAAAAGGTCTCTTTTTAGAAAAAAGAAAGCAAATGAATAACAAAATACCTAAAAAGGTATTTACTTTTTTCAAAATCTTTAAAATTTTCCCAAATCAAATAATAGGACCTAATGATAGGTTAAGGAATGATCAACCAGTTGGATGATGAAAAAGCAGAAAAGAAGCAATGAACCTGTTGTAGGTGCTGGGAAAGATCCTAGAGTTTAGTGTCCTTGTTTCAAGTTGAGAGAGTGGAGTTATAGAGAGTAAGGTGGCTGCTCAGGGACGGGGATGGGCGCAAGCAGGGAATGGAGCATGGCATGGCAGCCATATTTTCTGTTCTGCCCCTTCACTGAAGTGTCACCATGTTTTAAGAATTCCAACAAAGTGCTTAAATATTGAAAGAAATGGAGGGGGGAAGAAGTTTGGAGATTATAGAATTTTATGCTTAATATATAGATTAAAACTGCATGGGCAAGGTTTCATAGAGTATAAATTTATTTGTGAGAAGAGAGCATTGCCAGAGAAAAAAATAGCATGGCATTACTAAGACCTAAGTTTTATCAAACTTCACTTTTATACAAATATGATGGAATTAATACCTATTAAGGATGAGAAAGTGCTAACCTAACAACCAGCAAGACTTTAGTTTTTTTTTTTTTCTTTTGCATAAGCCTGAGAAACATTATGTTGACCACAAAACTCATAGGTGATTATTGCAGGCTCAGATCCAAGAGAATTATCATCACTGGACCAACAACAGCCTGGGGAACCTAACAAACAGGTGGGGGCCCTGAAGGGGTTGCTTCAGCTCTTTGTTGTCGAAGATTGTCATCAATGATCTGTGTAATGGAAAAAAAAGAGAAAAGAATATCTTTGTTATTTTACAGAAGATACATCATTGGAAGATACAACATTGAGTGGGAGCCAAGAAAGCAGTTTTGAGGACAAGATGAGAATTAAAAAGTAATGTTGGTAACATTGGAGAAGGTAGCTGGAAACAAGCAGAAAGCTGCTGTCAAAGGAAACTAAAAAATACAAAACTGGAGAATTATTGACTGTGGGTATATATTACAGACTAAAATCCAGAAGTCTATACAGTTAACGGATTGTCAAAGAGTCAGGAGGAAAGGGCAAGAGTTAAAAAAAAAAAAATTGGAGTGGATAAATAAAAAAAATCAGACCTGAGAGGTAATTTTTCTTCAGGTTGCATTCAATACTCTGCAGGCCACATCTAGAGATACAACACAGTCACTGGCTTGTAAAATATTTAAGGAGCTGAAAAATTAGGTTTATTATGAATAATGAAGGAAATGAAGACTTTTCAGTCTGGAGACTAGAAGGTAGAAAGGTAATTTAATCAAGCCTTAATGTTTAAGAGGAGGAAACCAGCAGTTTTCCATCTCCTCTGACAACAAACATGAGGAAACAGTTTTCGATTATAAAAAACAGATATAAGTTGGAGGTGAAAGAGATTTTACACTGATGACGGTGAATAAGCCAAAAATAATAATAAAATCTAGTTTTCTGGAAGGTATAAAGGAAAATGACTTTCCTCTGTTCTAGGGTCACCAACTGATCTTTTTTGAAATTTATTTCTAGGCTATTGACTAGATTGGGGGTTGGCAAGTTCTTTCTGTAAAGGGCCAGACAGTAACTAATTTAGACTTTGGGGGCCATATGGTTTCTGTAACAGCTAATCAACTCTGCAGATGAAGTGTGAAAGCAACCGTAGACAATATGTAACCGGTGAGCGTGGCTGTGCTCCGAATAAAACCTAATTTATGAAAAGATGCTCGGGGCGGGATTTGGCCCACTGGCTATAGTTTATACCGACTCCTCGATGAAGTGAACCACGCAAGCATTTTGAACCTTTGAATCTTGATGTGGAAAAGAGTGTTGGAGATGACAAGGTCTTTACTGGGGCCTTTGTTCTGTGTTGAGTTCTGTGGTAATTTTTGGGAATGACACAGGAGAGAGAGGAAAGCTGTGAAAGGGAATATACGTGAGGGTATTGCCCTTATGGGCAAGTGGAGCTCAATCCTTGTGATGGGTGAGGAAGCTGGGAAGTTTATTTGCAAACTTGTGTTTCTTATTGTTTATTTCCTGTTTGTTCTCATTTGTCTGGCCCACCCTGCTCAGAGCAATCCTGATTCCCAGGCCAGAGAGTACCCGCAGGCCGAGAGAGAGGCAAGAAGCCAGCAGCCTGCATAAGAACTGTACAAGTGACCTCTGTGCAGGTGACCTGTGTGCGGGTGACCACAGGGGAAGGCCAAGGAATATGGATGGGACACCAGCATTGCCTGCTACCAGCACCACCTGAATCTCTTTCTGTTCACTCACTCCTGGGAGGGCAGAATTCTGAACAGACTCACTTACGTCTTCAAAGAAGGTTCTAGTTTGCAGCACTATTTCTTTGAAGTAGAAGCTCACATCCCGGTCTGTGAGCAGCTCCAGGATCTTTTTTAGAGCCTTCAAGCTTTCACAGACAACCTCGGTGCGGGCCAGGTGATATAGGCCTCTGATGATAGATTCCAGTATCATCTGCTTATGCTTCTTCACCTATTTGGAAATAAGGTCTCGTAATCTTGAAAACTGCTCTCTGTGCATCTAGAATAGGGTAGGAGACTCCCAAGGAAACTGGAATTCTGTTAGGGTCACATACACTTCAACTCCAGAGATACCACTGTAGCAATTTCTTTTGGATTTTTACTTAATTGCTATACAAGCACGAGATGTGGGTTAGTAAATAATTATTTTAAACTCTGATTAAGTGTCCCCCGCACCTACCCCAACTCCCTTTACCTTGTGAGGGGCTCCAGAAGTTGTATTACCAAGCCCTCGGATGGCCATTTGCCTCAAAATGGCGTTGGAGTCCCAGGCACTCTGATCCATCAGGATCAGCACTTCCCGTAGATTCCCATGCTTCCAAAGGATCGGCTCCTTCATGAGCTGAAAACAACCACTTCACCCCTTTAGTTAAAGGAGTGGCCTCTCTTCAGGAGAATGATAAGTGCATCATAACTACAGTTAAAGACTAGCACCCGGCTGCTCTTGGAGCAGGGGGGAAAGCCCTCAGGTGAATCAGCAAGTCTGGCAGAAAGGAATCTCTCTATTTGAGCAGCCCACAGACCAAGGTTACATGGTGATGAGAACCACACTACCCAGTTAAGTAGGATGTCTCTAATCTAAATGGAAAAACAGGAAAACGGGAGTTACTGGCAATGTTCTTTCTCCGGGTTGTCTGGGACAACCTTTATGGCAGGGTGTGAGGGGACAGTAATATAGTTCTTGGTTACTTTTTGTTTTGTCCCTGTCATATCTATCGTCCACCCTTCTCTGTCCTGGGAGGTTGGTGCCGGCAGACTGGAGTGAAGGAAGAGGTTTGGGTGAGTTCTTTTTCCTCTCTCGTTCCCTTCTCAGGTACTGTATTTCTGGCGGCGGCTGAATCTCAGTACTACCAAAGCTCTCCTGAAGGGCCCTCTTCTGTGGTTCCAGCTCCCACTGAACTGCTGACCCTAAGAGAAATGCCCCCAAGGGGACCCAGAGAGCCTGCTGGGCAGTGACATGACTGTTCTCTCTTGCCTCAGAGAAGAAAGCTGTGCCGGTTATCCGGTAGTTCTCCGAGGAGGAGGTGAGAGATGCAAACAGTTGCTCCATGATGTCTAGTATGACTCCATGTTGCCACAGCGCCATGCTCCTAGAAAATGCAAGGCTCCAATTGTAGCAGAGACTTTTTTCTTTCTAAACAATGGAGGAGATTTTAGTCTATTTCTCTCTCAGGGAAATAAATGATCTCAAAAGGAATGTTCCATGAAAGAGCACTAAGGATTTGGGCTCTTCCCACCGTCCCTTCCCATCTGCCTTTGCTCTTTCTTCCCTCTTTTTTCCCCTGGACTACAGATCCTTGGTGAGTCCATTGCTTCCAGTAAAGTTGCCTACATGGCAGTTTTTACTCTGTTTTTAATTTTTCTCCTTTGTATCCAGTTCTCGAATGTCCACACATTACCTGGCCAGTGCACATACTCCTACATGGTGGGAACTGGGGCTGCTGAGAAAGGTCCATAAGTTGTCCCCCTCATCAGATTCCTTGGCAAGGCCCTCTTTCATGGCTTGGGCTTGCACACACTTCAGAGTTGTGATTGAGAGCCTGAAGGAGACAGTGGGCACCACAAAAGTAAGTCAACCCCATACAGGGAGTTGCGAATCCCAAGTTCACTCTTTCTGTTCCCCACAAGGCTGCTTCACCCTGGATTAATGGATGTTGTGTGAGGGAAAAAACCAGACAGCCTGATCTCACACTTCAGTTTTGGGGCCAAAGGGGACACTGAGGTGATTTGGACCAGTAAATAATGCCACAAAATTTTGTTAACCTCTCATGAGAAAATAAAGCCCTAAAGATGGAAAGTGCCAAATACTGTATTTCACTGATTCTGAAACAGCCCTTCAGAAGCAGGATGCGGCTTGCAATGGATAGTGTGTTATGACAGTTGGCCAGACAGCAGTTGTGGTGTAGTTGTTATTACCAGTGCGTGCACACGAACATGCATGGATTTAGGCACGGTTGTTTATACTGTTGTCATTTTGGCAACATTGTGTTATTGGAACTACATGTGTTGGGTCTAACCGTTGTTTAAAATGTCTTTACAAAGTGGATTTGAGGGGTGCCCGGGTAGCTCAGTCTGTTAAGCGTCTGACTTCAGCTCAGGTCATGATCTCTCAGTCTGTGAGTTCGAGCCCCGCGTCGGGCTCTGTGCTGACAGCTCAGAGCCTGGAGCCTGCTTTGGATTCTGTGTCTCCCTCTCTCTCTACCCCTCCCCACTCACACTCTGTTCCTCAGAATGAATAAACGTGAAAAAAAAAGATTAAAAAAAAAACTAAGGTGGATTTGACATTGGAATGAAAAGTTATGCAAAAGGGCACAGAAACAGAGCGTTGTGATGTAGGATCAAAATGTGCACCTAATAATTCTCAAAGAGCTCTTTGAATAAATACATAGTAAAAAATTTAAAGTATCACAAAGCATTGATTCATGGCTTAATCAGGATTCTTTCTTTCTTTTTCAATAGTGCACAAAATAATTTTGCTTCCTTCAATTGGTGATATCTTAAATTTAATAAAATATGGTATTTATTTCTATTTTTCTTCTTTCCTTGGTGGCGTTGACTATCCCAGAATTCCAGCTTGCTTTGAAGGGTCTCAAAGAAAGAAAACAAATGGAGCAGGACAGGCTCTCTATGGAAGCAAACAGAGCTGCTATTCGTTGTTATGTGACCATTCTGGGCAACTGTGCTGGGTACTGCTCAGGGAGGAAGAGCAACAGGGCTCAAGGGCAGTGTGGAGACTCGTTGCCTCATGGGTAGTTGAGGCCACGCCAGGAGGCATAGGCGTTGACTAACAGAGCCCCTCGTCTAGAGTCTGGGGTCCAGACAGCTCTGGCAGGCCCTCTGGCCTGGCCATTTACCTGCAGGGGTCTGCGGTCTGCTGCCGTTCTCCCTGTGGCATCACCCGCCGCCTGCGGCTCAAGGTGGAAGTGGGCATTTTCTGGCCCAGTGTGCAGCTGACCAACTTCAGGAGAAGAGTGAACACCTCCGGGTACAAGCTTGTGACAGGGGTGCCTGCCGATACCACTTCATACATAGCACAGGCCGCCTGAGGGGAGAAAGGACTTCATGGTCAAGCAGGCTCCTGTCCTCCAAGGACATCTCCCTGGTCTGACCTTCAAGTTGTTTTCTCCCCAAAGGATTGCTTTCCAAGTTGACCGCACTCATACTCGAAACGAAACGAAACGAAACGAAACGAAACCAAACCAAACCAAACCAAACCAAACCAAAACAAAACACAAAAAATGCCAGAAAAGAGGGTGTATTTGTTTGGAAACTTCTCAGCTCATACTATGTTTCTCTCTCAGGACTGTTATGTTCGGCAACTCCAAACTCTAGGGGGCACCAGTCAGGTGAAATGAAATCTTTTCCAGCATTGAGGTCTTTCAAAGGGGTGCTCTGGCTATCTTAAGACTAATTTGTAAATACAGACCCACAGATTTTCTTTGGGAGGATGAGAAATTTGCTTCTAAAAGTGATCAGCCACAGACAAAATTGCTGCCATATTTGTCCAACTAACTCCAATTAACTGGAGCCGAT